CATACGCAGGCGAGTTCTGGAGCATACGCAGGCGAGTTCTGGAACGAGTTCTTGATCATACGCAGGCGGGTTCTGGAACATACCCAGGCGAGTTCTGGAACATACGCAGGCGAGTTCTTGAACATACGCAGGCGAGTTCTTGAACATACGCAGGCGAGCTCTTGAACATACGCAGGCGAGTTCTGGAACATACGCAGGCGCAGTCTCATTGTCACAGGTCGGCTAGAACTATGAGTGAAAATCACCCCCCTCCCCCATCCCCCCTCATAGTTCTCCTTTAATACCGTCTCTCATTAACATTCAGACAAGAATGATTTGTGCTTATATAGGAAAATAATTTCTTCACTATAATACTTGCCGGTCTATTGATTCCCTGATGGCTCTGCAGACAAAGTGATGATCAGAGGAGATCGTCGAATCTTTATCACATCGAATAAAAAGTCAGAATGTGTAAAACAAGAATGAGTCGTGGTGCAAAACGGTCCGAGAGCGCTCTGCTGCCCCCTGCTGTCACTGTGATGAATGAACGTCCCAAAATCCGTCCGTCTATCTCATTAGTAGCGCAACAAAATAATTTCTTTGCTGACCCTCTCATCTATCTACCTAGCAGACACGACCTAGCAAAATGAAAAGCAATGAGTTATCTGCAGTCTCTAATTAGTGAAATGTCCACAGTGATCCTGGCTGCTGGGGATCTTGAGGTCTTGGCCCAGCCCATTTTTATGAATGAAATTACCGAGGCTGGAATTACTCCGTGGGCGGATACATCTGCACCCAACAGACCCGCAACATCTGCACCCAACAGACCCGCAACATCTGCACCCAACAGACCCGCAACATCTGCACCCAACAGACCCGCAACATCTGCACCCAACAGACCCGCAACATCTGCACCCAACAGACCCGCAACATCTGCACCCAACAGACCCGCAACATCTGCACCCAACAGACCCGCAACATCTGCACCCAACAGACCCGCAACATCTGCACCCAACAGACCCGCAACATCTGCACCCAACAGACCCGCAACATCTGCACCCAACAGACCCGCAACATCTGCACCCAACAGACCCGCAACATCTGCACCCAACAGACCCGCAACATCTGCACCCAACAGACCCGCAACATCTGCACCCAACAGACCCGCAACATCTGCACCCAACAGACCCGCAACATCTGCACCCAACAGACCCGCAACATCTGCACCCAACAGACCCGCAACATCTGCACCCAACAGACCCGCAACATCTGCACCCAACAGACCCGCAACATCTGCACCCAACAGACCCGCAACATCTGCACCCAACAGACCCGCAACATCTGCACCCAACAGACCCGCAACATCTGCACCCAACAGACCCGCAACATCTGCACCCAACAGACCCGCAACATCTGCACCCAACAGACCCGCAACATCTGCACCCAACAGACCCGCAACATCTGCACCCAACAGACCCGCAACATCTGCACCCAACAGACCCGCAACATCTGCACCCAACAGACCCGCAACATCTGCACCCAACAGACCCGCAACAGTTTCGGTGATGCTGCGCCTGCACAATGAAAGATTCCCTTAGAAGAGGCACCGGCATGAGGGATCGTTGGCCTTCATCCATCCAGGGGTGGTGCTGGCTCCTGTCCCATTTGTAAGTTGCAACAATAGTTCGAGGTAGCCATTCTTCCCAAGGGCCCACTATCCCACTGACCAATCATTTATGGGCCTTTTTTTTTTCTGGGGCCCACTATCACACCAATGATTTGGAGGGCTGTTCACTTGTGCTGGAAACTCACTGACAGTTTCCCCTGGGGTGCCACAACCCTAATAAAACCAATGGATCGAAGGTCTATTCTCCTCTGGGGGGCCATGATTCCCAAAAAGACCGACAGATGGAAAGTCTACTCTCCCCTGGTGGCCATAATCCGAATGACACCAATGGATTGAAGGTCTGTTCTGCTCTAGGAGCCACAATCCGAATGACACCAATGGATTGAAGGGCTATTCTTCCCTGGTGGCCATGATACCAATGGACTAAAGGTCTATTTTGCTCAGGGGGACCACAACCCCAATGACACCAATGGATCGAAGGTCTATTCTCCTCTTTGGGCCATGATCCCAATAAGACCGACAGATGGAAAGTCTACTCTCCCCTAGGGGCCACAATCCGAATGACACCAATGGATTGAAGGACTATTCTTTCCTGGTGGCCATGATCCCAATGATA